ATTATTGTTTAAAAATAAACATAAGGATACTAAATAGTGACTAAAAGGGAAGAAAGGGAAGGCCATCGTATACGAATCGAACAAGGTCGTGCAACAGGTTTTGCAAGGGGTAAAAATGGCGAAGCACGCGAGCTACTTAGAATCTCCCGAGTACACATTCGAAACAAGTGCCTTTCTTTATTCTCTTTATAAATAAAACGATTGTTGGATTTACGATACATTGGATGTTTTCCTAAGTGCAATCGTAACGAGAACATGGAAGAACAGAATAATAGCACACGTCTCTTATATTTATAAGTTTTGTAAAAGTAACAAATAAGAAGATTTTATGTACGAAATATTATGTACGAAAATAATGATATGCTGCTTAATTTTGTAGTTCATAAAAAGGCCTTATTCTTAAGTTAGTTAAAGACAATTTCAGAACGTTTATTTTATTATGTTCCCAGCGTTATTTAAATTTGGATTTTTTTCCGAGATTCATTCTTTTATTTCTGATATATTCTATACACGAGCATAGTCTCACTTATTTACGGATTCGGAGTTCGTTCGTGTACCAGAATGCATTCAACACAATTGTATGTTTGATACCTTCCTAGTCTGTGACAAACAAAGGAAATATCGGATTCCCGTCGTGCTATATTGATGAGTCTGCAATTCGTAGCTAATGCGTAAAATAGTTATACAAATGGAATTTCCAACAAAAATTTATCTCGCTTTATTCTCGAGAAACAAAGCAAAGTCGAGGGCATAGACCTGAGAATCTCTTATTCCTATATTATTATCCTCTCACTACATTGGTTAGGTAATATTGGTTTTAGTAGCTTCGCAAATAATTTTTGCTAACAGAAATTTTTCGAGAGAAGAAGAAATGACGATACCGACAAAGGTAATGCGTTACATCGAATGATACGAATGTGGTAGAGGATACAATCAGTCAATTCCGATGTCGGCATAATGCACCGGATGACAAGTAATCATGACTCATCATGCTTGCTATACTTATTTTATTGAAATCAATATGATCTTCTAAATAACTCGTTAAAAAAAAAATCATTTCATTATTTTCGAAATAATATTTTAATATAAAGAAGAGAAAGCTTCTTTTTCGATCAAACATTATATATTTGGTTGTTCGGAAAGTTCGTATCGACTAACCTATATAATTTAATAAATGTATACTAAAATTTTCTGCGTTTCAATTTTCCTTCAACATCGGCATGAATTTTCCGAACAACCCAATGTAACATAGAAAAATCAAATCGTTTTATAAGAAGATTTTTGAAAGCAACTTAATCTTAACTTACCATACATTTAGTATTGAATTAATTCGGTCGATATCAGTTTAAAAAAAAAGGGAGCAAAGCTGTTTAATATTCTAATAACAGGATACCAAAGCGAATAAGAAAGAGTGACAGACAACATATACCAGCTGCAAAGTGTCACGAACGTTGATGGGATACCACAGACACGTTACTTCCACCTCTTCCACCTACTTCCATGTACTACATTGAACGTGAACGAAAACCACTCGCAAGGTCGGAAATACGCTAGGCACGTGACAATGGTCAGCCGGAAGTGAAGTGCGCGCTAGACTTCCTTCAAACATGCGAGATCCGTTTATACTTCACGGAAAGTGGCTGGATGCTACTTTCTACTTTCAAAATCTCAACTGGAAACGATAAGCCATCACGCTACTTAAATCAAACATTCTAATAAAATATAGATTGTGTCTTGATATGTATCGTCAGTACTAAAAATGTGTAGTTTACGTTACGTACTTATATTATACATTTTCAATACTTGTAGTGTACATCGAAATACAATTATGGCAAAAAGAAATGAAAGTTGCTTTATTGGACGCGGCTATAAAAAAGAAATACCGAGATATTTTTGGAGTGACATACATGACACGAATACTATAGCTGAAACTTTCCAGTAAAATATGGTAGGAAAGATAAAAAATTACTGAATGTAGTTATGCAGAAAGAAATATCGCGAGGTATTTTTGTAGAGTGACATACATGATATAAATATCATAACTCTAATTTTCCAATAAAATGTGTGATAGAGAAGATAAAAATCTACTTGACGTGGCTGTGCAGAAAAAATGTTGCGTATTTTTGTGATATACATGATGAATATTAAAATGCAGTCTTTTATTTCAACACGATTTACCCAGTTAAAACTGTGCGTAATACAGCTACGTGGTTAATCTAACATTGTTTAAAAAATTCGAAACAAACAGATATCTATGATGAAATAAAGTCATGCATATTTTGCATTGCAATATAATGTGTCATATGTAATTCAATCATAATATATAATTACACTTGCAAGTTAGTTTTTATTCTCAAATTATATAGATTTGTTATATAGAAAAATTAATTATATAGAAAAATTAAACTAAAAATTAATACTTGTTTACTAATTATATAAATTTTTTAAAAATTGAAATAAATCAATTTTAAGTATCTTTTGAATGCCAACGCGAGAATTCTATTTGCAAATATAAAAAATAAAAATATTTTTGCTAAAAAATTCAAACATACTTTTTATACGATAGATCATTAAATCTCTGTTTACTAAATTCTTTCAAGTTTTTTGTAAAATGCATAGTGTAAATTATCACGTTCTCAGCACGCCGCGTTTAACCATCGCGCGGCAAATATCTTCAACCACGAATTTATACCTTTCAAAGCATGAGGCAAACGAAATTTTCGCGTGCCTCAGCTACGTATTTTCTGATTATCTCTGACAAGTCAGCATGCTATTTGTGCCTTCTTTCTACAATTAGGAGTTTTTGTCGTCCGTACGTTACGTCGTCAGGCACGAGGGATAGGCCGCCTGAGAGATACGATTGAGAGAAACGAAGAGAAGGAAAAAGAGACAATATGATAGAAGGAGATGGAGTAGGGATCAATACGCACCTCACTGTCTCACGAATGGTTTCGTAGAAAAAATGATTTCGTCACTTTAGATCCAAATGGATATTGAATATTCATCAATAACCTCAACGTTGCTTTTGAATTTTTGTGTATAAATAAATTATTGACGTGTTAATAAGATTAGATATAAAATTATATTAAGACTTATTGAGAAACTAAATAATTTATAATTTTCCTTTCTCAAACAATTTTCTTGTTATGCTGATTGATCATAGATATTAATGGTTGGATATTAATAGATATTAATTTGATCCTTTGACAATTTTAATGGAGATTTGATTGCTTTTTATATTTGATGTATATTACAGATTGATTTGCGTTTAGTTTGTGGGATTCAATATTTAATAAAAGAAATGCTGTCTTAAGAATTTTTATTAGCGGTATTTTTTCTTACAAATAAAATAAATTTTCCTATTGAGTATTGAATGGCTTGGTATATTGGACATCAGCTGCAGAGAGCTCTCTATTACGTGTCAGCGGCAGCGTTATAGGTTTGCAATCTTTCTCATGTCTGGGAACGCATTGCTTCCCAGTGTACATATCGTGAACATATACTGTCTGTCTGTACATAAGAATTCATAACTATGAGTAACCGCGAGTATTAAAATCAATATACCGTTTGTACGATTTCCCATAACTATTACTTCGATATAACTGAGACATTCCTGACATCAATACGAACGAATTAATTTTTCTCTGATTTATAAAAGTTTCGTACAAATATTATATGTCATGAATTTAATTAAAATTTAATTAAAAAACTTGTTTTTTATTGAAGAACGTCAATATGTCAGTTTGAAGGGTTTCAAAATTTTTTATCTGAGAAACGATTTAGTGATTAAACGCACGTGTAAACACACAGTTAAAAAAAAATGAACAAAAATGTTTGGTACGAGGGACTGGACGATCGTGCATTCGCAAGTTAATGGCCAATATTTCGCGATGGAGAAAGCGAAGCGTTGAACGGAGGTCGTGGGCCTCGTTAAAAGCTATCCATAAACTTAGAGTCGTTTCACACTGTGGGAATCACGATATCACGCAAGAATCAGATGACTCGAGTAATCGTTACTTTGCAAGAGCGTACAAATTTCTTGCTATCGGAAGCATTATCTTTATATTGGAAATAAAAATAGATGAGGGATCGATGATACTATAAATGAGTCTTTCTCTTTCAGTTTCTTTATTATCTTTAAGAACGCCAAAGCCTTGAAATTCAAGATACACTGCTGATTTATAACGGATCCTTACTAACACGAGCATGACCCACGATTCACGGTTACGATACTGCGTGCCGAGGCCAGTAAAAACATACAAGCGTCAAGATGAGTCCGAAACAGTTAGATGTATATGCATGTTCTCATAGAACCAGATTGTTGCATAAGGATACTGCATAATCTAATTCTAGTCAAACATAATCGAGGCTTTTTATATATTGCTCTATATAATTAACTTACATGTACGCATGTGTACTATTAAAAATTATATTAATAACCCACACACACACAACACACACACACACGCGCGCGCGCGCGCGCGCGCACACGCACGCACGCACGCACACACGCACATACACATATATTTATATATACACGGAGGAAAGGAAACTTGTTGTCACAGAACAGTTATTGCTAGTTTATATTCAATGTGAAAGCAATTAAATTTTTTTCTACCAATTATTTGATATTGCAACGAAATTTATTTTCTTGACAAAATAGAAAAATTCTGCTGTAAGTTTGTTCATAGAAACATTATCTCGCAACAAAAGAAAATTTAATTTGTTGATAAAAGTTCTAACAAACGTATTTTATTATGATTTGGTGACGGAATAAGAAATCAATTTTTTGAAACGAAATAATTTGCAGAATCAACAAAACTATTTTTTGTAAATAGTAATAAAAAATTAGTATTCTTTTAATAAACATTTTATGCTGTCTATATAATAATTAGCTTGCATTAATTTACTAAACACATTGTTAATGCCAAGGAGTTATTAATTATGCAAATGATGATACAAGCATGTGAATTAATAGCGGTTTCTGTGTTTCACTTCAGGTCACCTACTCGGCTGATCTCGCGATTGAGATACCAGGCAATCTGAGTCAGGGTGGTTCCTGGTACCGTTTGGATTACAGCCCACCCGTTGGCTCTCCACCGCCGAACACCACCATAGCCGCCACTGACATCGGTGATGTCATAAAGTTCAGGGACGGTCTGCCTGGGACGAGATACGAATACTGGCTGTACTACAGCAACAGCACTCTACACGATTGGCTGACGTGGACTGCGTCAATTACGACACGTATATAATCTGATTCTATTAACGCGATTTTTGATAGTGCACCTTTTAAAAAATATAAATTGTTTATACTTTCATAATTATTATTATTTAAATTAAAACTATTAAGATAAACTACTTTATATATATAGTTTATCTTAATGTATAGTTTCGATGAATTTTTAAATTAAACAGTTGAACAATTATAATTACAAACACAAAGATAAATAAACAACGAACAGTTTGACTTGCAGTGAGTCTCTCTGGAGAATCAATTAATAAATATAATTTAATTCACTAGCACCCGATCCTCCATCAAATTTGACGGTATCGGTACGAAATGGAAAGACCGCGATCGTATATTGGTCGCCTCCGGCTCAAGGGAATTATTCCGGTTTCCGGTTGCGGACACAGAGCTTCAGCGATACCGGAAATCCCAAAACCACCGTCATCCCCGTCGACTCGGTGCCCTACACACTACGTGATCTCACGCCTGGTGCCACATATTCGCTTCAACTCTTCACCGTGTTGGACGCTAAAGAAAGTGTCGCTTATACCAGCAGAAATTTTACGACAAGTACATCAATATTTTGAGAATTACAAATGTTTCATAACGATCGATACTAACGTTGGATTATTTATAGAGCCAAACATCCCGGGAAAGTTCATCGTCTGGTTCAGAAACGAGACAACGCTGCTGGTGCTATGGCAACCGCCTTATCCGGCCGGAATATACACACACTACAAAATTAGCATAGACCCATCTGATGCGATAGAATCTGTTCTCTATGTGGAGAAGGAAGGCGAACCACCTGGTCCTGCACAGGCAGCTTTCAAAGGACTCGTTCCAGGTCAGTTTACTGCACGTATATATTACAAAACTATCTAAATATACCAAATAAATCAAATTTTATTCCGTAAATATATTTCTAGAAATATATATTATATTCTTTCAAATTGCAAATAAATAAATCTTATATATCACGTCCTTTCTTTAAAAATGACACAATTCACAAAATTAAGTTTTCCAGAAAAAGCAAACGCTTTTTTCAACTTAACAAAAAATTATTGATTAATGGAATAATATTGGCAAAAAAATCCTTACATGATCAAATATTATTTTTATTATTCTTGTTTCATTTTGAAAAAAATCATTCTTTTTTAGTGATAATTTTGAGAATTAATTTTTTAATGAAGTTAAGTTAGTAGTTTACTTTTGATAATTGATAGAGATTGCACATAGATTTCGTTTTCTTTTTCTACACATGTGAACGGAGCTATCTAAAATCGCGGAGAAAGTATATCTGCTGTAAATAGAGCAATATACGAGTTGCAAGACGGATAGATTCCATGTATCAATATTTTTCTAACATTCAAAACAAAATTAAATTCTATTTAATAAAATATAAGGCTTATCAAAGAAAATTTTTTATTAAGACTTATCCCCACTGAAATCGATTATATATACTATTATTATATACTATTATTTGACATATTGACCTCTTTTTAAATAAAAATAAAAGAAGAAACTAATACATTCGCCTTCAGTAATGAGAAAGTTATAATTTATAAATAAAAAAATAATTATAAAAGTACTTATACTTGAGTTTAATTAAATTGTGTGTGTATTAAACACGTTTCATTCTCTGCATACATATATTTAATTTTGTTGATTGTACAAACATGCAACTGCAATAGAAAAAAAATTCGAATAGAAAATTAAAAAAAAATTATTCGAATTTTAAAAATGTGTTCTTAAAAATGTAAAAATAAATATAAATTCATTACTTCTTTTAAAATAGTAACGATTGTGTTTTATTCCTCTAAATCGTTTGTATTTTTGCTTACAGGTAGAGCATATAACATTTCCGTGCAGACGGTTTCCGAAGACGAAACATCCGCGCCTACTACAGCCCAATATCGTACAGTACCGCTGCGTCCCCTCAATGTGACCTTCGACAAATCCTCTATAACATCAACTTCCTTTCGCATGTTTTGGAACCCTCCCAATGGAACGTCCGAGTTCGACAAGTATCAAATATCGCTCGGTAGTAATCGGAGGCTTACGCCAGTCACGCGAAACCGAGACGATGAGAACAGATGGGAGTTCAAAGACTTGGAGCCTGGCAAAACATATCAAGTGGTAGTGAAAACTGTTTCTGGCAAAGTCACCAGCTGGCCGGCTAGTGGAGATGTCACTTTAAGTATGTTTATTTCTCGCCTCTTAATGTACTTATTGAAGGTAGCAAGCTTGTAATTATTTATAATTATTATTGTTGTTCATTCATACTTAGAACCATTACCTGTTCACGATCTCAGAGCGGTGATCGATGAAAAAACTGGTATGGTAGAAGTTTCGTGGAGTCCAGAAAATTCCAGTACACAAGATAGTTACAAGCTACAGTATCATGAAGTAGAAACAACGATTGGTGGCGATAGTAACACTTTGACGACTGATAAAACAAAGGTAAGCGCGTAAATTGTAAAACAAAAAAGATTTTGCACAACCTTCATTTTTCCTATATTTTTCTGACATAATTATTAAATCGATAGGTTACGCTGGAAGCTCTGCTGCCCGGAAGAAATTATTCCATAATAGTTCAAGCGATTAGCAATAAAATCGAGTCAAACGAAACCGTCCTTTACCAAGCAACACGTCCCGCTAGTCCTGTAATTGAAGATCTGAAGCCTATTGAAAAAGGTTTAAATATTTCCTGGAAAAGCGACGTCAATTCAAAACAAGAGAAATTCGAAGTGACCCACAACAGAAATGACACTGGAGAAAGTGCAACCACTCTAACTACGGAATCGCATATTGTCTTAGAAGACCTTTATCCTGGTGCAGCATATGAAGTTAAAGTCTTTGCCATTAGTCATGGACTTCGAAGTGAACCACACGATTACTTGCAAGCCGTTCGTAAGTAATAAATTTAATCCGTTTCCTAGGAATAATATAATTCTCTTTCATCTTCAACATTATCTGTGAAAGTTATTTAATTCATTAACGCTTTGTTGAATTACTTTTTAGTGCCTCATCCACCGAAAAATCTCAGTATCGAAAAAGTCACAAGCAATACCGTTGTTGTGCACTGGGAAGCGCCGACGGACTCAATATTTACCGAATACTCCATCAGATATCGTACAGAAGACGATCCCAGATGGGTCAAACTTCCCAGTGTTCGTGACACGGAAGCAGAAGTGGCGGATATGACACCTGGTGAAAGATATACTATACAAGTAAATACCGTCAGTTATGGCGTCGAAAGCTTGTATCCATTGCAAGTGAATCACACAGTCAGTAAGTACACTATGAATTATTACATAACTTTCTGATAATAATTAATATGATTGAAATAGTGAACAACCACTTGAGACTCAGGCTTAGATATATCTGCTTGCCATTTTTTAAGGGCCTAATCCAGTTCTAAATATCACTCCAATTATCGACTCTACCAACGTAACTCTCGAATGGCCGCGACCTGAGGGTCGCATCGAAACCTACGTTATAAGATGGTGGCCAGTAGAGAATCCAGAGGACTCCAGGATGAAGAACGTTAGTGAGACTAACGATGTATCCGATATTAGTTTCGAAGAAAACACTGTGCAAACCGAGAAGATCCTGGTGAGCGACCTGATGCCTGGAGTACAGTATTTCTTCGTCGTCTACACGATCTCATATGATCTAGTCAGCGACATCACTAATTTAACTACAAGAACGAGTGAGTGCATCGATTTCACTCATCAGCGGTGATGAGTGAAGTTATATTAATGTATTTATTATTTTCCGCTATTTAACAATGCATTAACATATTTCATATGAGCATGCCTAATGGATATACGTGACATCTTAACTGCCAGTTATTAAACTTGCTCATATGCTTTCGCTATATATTTCTATTACATCATATTTTCATTATCATTTGTCTGTCAGAATTTTATATCGACTTAGCGATTTCGTTCGAAGTCTAACGGGCAGTTAAGGACAATTATAATAGATCGACGGTAACTAGACAAACAAAAACGAACTTTGAAATTTAGTGCCACTGATCCAATCCGAGGTCGTCGTAGTAGTCGACCGAGACCAACCAGGATCATTGACCTTAAGATATACACCGACGCCAATTCAATCCTCGAGGTTTGATCTCTACCGATTCAGGATTAGCGATGAGCATAACACCACGAAGGAGCGTATGGTGGATGACATTGATACCAAGGTTTCTTTTGTTGGATTAACACCTGGCAAGCTATATAATGTGACTGTTTGGACAGTAAGCGATAATGTGGAGAGCAGACCTCTCCTCCGGCAAGACCGACTCTGTGAGTATCCACATAATACAATGGGAGTTAAAGCAGACCCCGAAGATTATATACTAATTTTAATTAGTTTACATAAATAACATTTACTTAAACTATTTAAAATAAAAAGGAGTGAAATTTTGATATTTATTATTCCCGTCTAACATAACATACCTAAAGACTGTACGAATTCGCAGATAATCCACTTAGAAGTGTGGTATCATTAGATTTCCTTTTGGAAATATTACACCTGCGTATTATATTTTGTGAAATAACATTGTAATTATGTTACATACGATTATTAACTATAAGCAGATCGCAGTGAAGGAATTAAATATTTCATCTTTTATATCAGCAATATTTCTATTTATTTTAGTAGTCCCAAGATTTATTTAATATTTATATTTATATTTATATCATGTATTGTTAGATAATTATCTATGCAAACAAAAATCTTTTAATATTTATATATAATAATCAGGCATTTGTTCATATCATCTCTTTTTACTAGCCCGGAGATAAATATAATTTCTAGATCCTGAACCGATCACTGCGATCCATGCGATCGACGTAAATGATACGAGGATCACTTTGACCTGGGACATCCCGCATGGAGAGTACAATACTTTTGAAGTACAATATATAAATACGGAAGGAAACTACATCCAAAATATAACCTCGGTCAACGTGATCACTATTTTTGATCTGAAGCCGCATAGAAATTATACATTCACATTGGTTGTACGTTCGGGTACAGAATCCTCTTACTTGAGAGTCTCAAATCCACTCAGCGCCAGCTTTACCACCAGCGAATCATATCCAGGAAAGGTGGAGAAGTTTCATCCTATCGACATTCAACCAAGCGACATCAGCTTCGTATGGTCTCTGCCAAGCCAAGAGCAAAATGGCATCATTACCAAATTTAGCATCACTTATGGTTTAGAAGTAAGATCCATTTAAAATATGCTTACGTACTACTATAGTTACGTACAAGTTATGGTATTGAAAACATAAAAAAATACGCGGAACGTATCGCAACATTCTTTATCGCAACGTTTAAAAATATGTCATATAATGCATTAAATTATACGAATGTTTTCTTGCAATTTTTTAGGGCTCGACCCATACCCAGATGCAGGACTTCAGGCCAATCGAGTTCCGTGGTGTTATTAAATCCCTCATACCGGGCAAGACTTATATCTTCCGGATTCAAGCGGAGACAAAGATCGGTTTTGGTCCTGAGACGGTCTGGAAGCAGAAAATGCCGATATTAGCACCGCCGAAGCCATCCACGCAAGTGGTACCGACCGAGGTCTGTAAAAGTAGCACGACAATTCAAATCAGATTTAGGAAAAACTACTTCAGCGAACAGAATGGAGCGGTCACGTCGTACAGCATCATTGTTGCCGAAGATGACAGCAAGAATGCTTCCGGATTGGAGATGCCCAGTTGGAGGGACGTCCAGGCTTACAGCATTTGGCCACCTTATCAGGTAAACTTTATTGCTCAGTTTCTAGATAATTACGAAGAATGCAGATTTAATTGAGACAAAATAATTTCTTCATAAGATTCAAACATTCAGACATATCAAATTTCAAATTGCTTAATCTGTCCCTAATGCTTTAAATCCGTAAGATATTTAATTGTCTGAGCAATTGCAAAATATATGTTATGTAAAATGAATATTCTAAAATAATGCAGCATTAAATTTTATCGACAAAAAATGTGCAATAAAATATTTTTATTGCAACAATTAATGTCATTTTCAATTTAATGAGTATTCAATATATCAAGAGAAGGCGCTAAAATAAATCGTTTAATATAATCAATGCAATAGACGTTGCGTTGTACTTATTGACTTGCAAGATCATGGACAGTTGTAAAATGTATGCGTTATGACGCAGATCCGTAATCATAGTCCACGGATGCCATTAGAGTATTATTCGCGGAACGAAGGATAATCTAGTTGTGATCTGAAACTGGAAAGGTGCAGATGTAATCATCGTGATAAAGACATGTGAAATAGTTAAATCGCGAAATCGTATTTAATTTTCTACATTGTTGTGACCGCGAAAAGAAAAGTAGTGCGTGTAAACTGAACCTAATAAAATTTAATAAAAAAAATGGTGCACTTTCTGAATTCATAAAATTTTTAATGTAGTTTAATTCAATTTTTTTTATTATAAGACCTTGTGTTCTTATTTATTCTTTCATTAATTGAAAAATTTTTTACAAAAGTGTAGCAGACTGTATCAACCTTCACATGATATTTTAACTGTTCGGATATTATGCTGTAACGGATATTATGCTAATCGACTGCGGTTTTATAATCGATTCTTCGTATGATATTATCAATGTTAATGTTAACGTTTTATTAAAGGCTACTGCGTAGCAAAGCAAAACATTATTCATTGTAGAATATATAATACAAGAAATTGATCACATTTTAGTTACAAACAAAATCAAAATATGCAATGATGGATATTTTAAACAATTTCATTTCAAATACAAAGAAGATGCTTATGCAGGTGTTTATAAAAGCAATATATATAATTATTTCATTATATAATTATTTTAATATATACAATAAATTCGTAATCACAGAGAAGTAGTTGTTTTACTTAAATATTTTTTGATTTTTGGAAAAACTTAATCGTAAAATATTTGGATATATAAAAATAAAATTCACAGTAAATAAATTAGGATAACAATTGATCTAGTTAGCAAAGAGAATTTATATGAATTAATTATTATATTACATTTTATTTCAACGTGATTATCAAAAATTACTGTCAATTATTTTAGAAATATATATCTCGTAATAAAATCTTTCTAGGTAATGGAGCCATATTATCCTTTCAAAAATGGATCTGTGGAAGACTTCACGATCGGCTCCGAGAATTGCGACAACAAAATTGGATATTGTAATGGACCATTGAAATCAGGATCTACTTATCGGGTGAAAGTACGTGCGTTTACAGCACCAGACAAATTTACGGATACCAGCTACAGCTTCCCTATTCAAACAGGTGAGAGCGATCGCGTAAAAAGTCTTAAGATGTGAGAAAAACGCGTGCCATTATCGCATCTGATGTTTCTTTCATTCTCACTTTCTTTGTCTTTCTCCTTCATGACGTAACAAAAATTTAAATATACGTAAGTTTATAGAAATAATAATATGTTATAACGATGCATTCGATGCGATAATTGGTTTGTAAAATAGAGGCACACTGCGCATGTAGTGAAAGCCTCGCTAAATTCATGCCTCGTTATTTCGTGTACATGTCTGCCCAAGGATTGCTGCTGGCAGGTAAGATTTTGGAATGAAAGTTCAAAGTTCAAAGTTTTCAGCACGCGTGATAAATGTGATATCGTTTTAACGAATGAATATATTTAACGTGATTATTCTTGATGTTTGACTCATTGAAACACTCAAAATTCGCTATGCGTGTCGTACAGATAAGGACAACACGGCCATCATAGTCGGTGTCACCGTCGCCATAGCATTGCTGCTATTTCTATTGGGTATCGGGCTGTTTATGCGAAGGAGAAGAAGTCAGGGTCGCAAGACAACAGAAACCAGGGCAACCGATAATTTATCATTGCCAGACAGCGTCATTGAGACTAGGTGTGCCAAGAAATTACAATACTTTACCTCAATTTTACTAAATTAAGATTATAACAATAAATTTGCATTATGGTTATAATATATATTTTTTGCCTGAAATAAGTATTAATAAGTTTCAGTTATCGATTAACTTAAAGTCGATTAAAAAATGTATACATGATTTCTTTTGTGTTTTCTTCATTTTTAATTTTAAATATTATGCTGATCAAACATTAAATTAATTT